AAAAAAAAAACAAATTCCCAAGAAGCTGTCGCATATGATGCTATGTGAAATCATATACGGCAACTTAGAAAAGTACACATAAATTCAGGACTCACCGTTTGTATGAATGCACTGCAAATGCAATTATGTGAAAAGAAATTTATCGCTGATAATATGCTTTAATCAAACCACGTCCAAAATGAACTGACGGCATGAATGACATAACAACGTGCTTGTCCTGTCAACAAAACTTCAAAAAAGTTTCTGTGAAAAAAGTTTCTATTGAATTCATTTATTACAAAAAATGTGACAAATGAGGAACCGCTCGACCGATTTTGTGCAAACTTCACATAAACCATCTACTAAATATGCCGACCAAATCCTAAGCATTTGGTTTGGATAGGTGAGCCCGTTCTTGAGTTATGGAATTACAACGAAAAGTGGCATTGATTTTTATATATATAGATTGAATAAGACTTTTACATACAACTGTTTATAGGGAAAAAGAGATGTTGCCAACCTAACAATTACAATGATTGCCAACAGAACAAAATAAAGGTTGCGTTCTCAAATACTAACAGACATCACTCACGGTGGCAGTGGACTTTTGACCTTTGACTGTACGACCACAAATCACCGTTATCTTTACAGCTACCTGGAATCGAACGACATAGCGACTATACTACCGGACCAGATCCGCCATCTCACGCAGCTGACACGTCTGGACCTGTCCAACAACAAGATCAGTGTCATCACAAACAATACTTTTGAGGGGTTAACCAAATTGTCAACTTTAATCGTCAGTTACAATAAGCTGAGATGTGTTCAGGTAATTTTGTGTTCTATTTCTTGATTGGTAAAGGTGTTTTTTGTTTGCCTTGTGTATGATAATTTCTGTTTTGTAGTTAGACCTGGAGGCTTACTCTTGAATCGAATCCCGATCGATCGACATTGGTATTGTGAAATTTCGTACTCTCGAGTTGCAACACTAGCACCCATTGCATCCGTATTACGTGGATATTAAATGAACTAAATGGTATCGAGTTTGTCTTTATATTCCGTACTCTGAATGCTATTGTAACAGCTACGATTGTGGTTGTATAGTTTTGACATTGAATAATTATTGTGGTTTTATTAGATTGAAATTGAATTGACATTGAGATTGGTTTCAAGAGTAAGCGCCCTGATCGTTATCGTTCTTATATTCCTGGAATATAAGGTCAGAGGTGCCCAAACCTCATTTTCTTCAGTTATGTTATCTGTGCAATGACTATTTGAAAATCTATCCATGTAACATAACATCTCGCCTTTTATTGGAGGTGCACAATACGGCACTTAATGCCACTGTACCTCTACAATGTAACAGCCACTTTTCACTATTTATGTTATGAGTCCCATATAATAGGGGGTGAGTGAAAGAAACTAAATCATCATCAAAATAGTCCTTATTCTCATATTAATCTTTGCTTCCAGCGCGATGCCCTGAAAGGGCTCACCCAGCTAAGAGTACTCTCACTCCATGGAAACAACATCTCTATGCTCGCTGATGGTGTCTTCAGGGACCTGGAGTCTATATCTCATGTGTAAGTATAATACATTGTTGAAAATATAGTGAGAATTGATTACAATCTACACCTTGGACCAGAGCTAGTGAGGACTGAACGGGTTACCAGGGCTACGGCTCGAATACGGTAGTTTCCTAAACTTTATTTCAATGTGCGTCTGGTAGATTAATTTAAAACATTACACACGTATTTTTTCTTTTCTCGCAAAATGAAATACTTTCGACGGTATATTAATTTGAAATATCGTGTGACGTCACAGCGTGCCACATTTTGTAGCACGTTATGACGTAACAACCTCCTCTTCTAAACTTAACTCCATTTTATCTAAGTATTGCAACTTAATACGAGAAAATAAAAAAATACGTGTCTAATATTTTTTCGTTATCTATCTGACGGACTAATTAGATTTTTAATTTTGATACCCTGGAAACTACCCAAGTGCAGGAGTAGGAACAGGGTGGTTTTTAGTCAGTAAGAGTCTGACACTCTCTTCCGCCTAACTCGAATGGGACTCATCATTCGATGATTTTCACCCATTATAATAAAACACTTGGACCAAATAGCTTCGTTAGAAGACCGATCGATAGACAGACCCATTATATTTTTTAGTTCGACAGTCATAAGTGTCTTTTTTGGTTAAAACTGAAAAATTTTTCGACATTGACTTTGAATTTGAAAATATCATCTGGCTTATTAGCAATGTTAAATTGAAAACAATGAGTTATGAGTTACGTGAAATAACTGAGAAAAGCTCTACTGGTTTCGAACCACAGAGGGGTTCTTCCTTATGAGTAGCGTGCACCATCGCGGCGATGTCGCGCCGTCGTCATGGTAACCTACGGTTTTTAGTTAATTTAGTATGTCTCACGATAGTTATTATCAAAAGATTCAAAATCCCTAATCAAATTTCATTTTCAGTGCCCTAGGTTCGAATCCACTATACTGCGACTGCAACTCCCGCTGGTTGTCGGAATGGGTGAAATCTGCTGGGGAGTACGTGGAGCCTGGTATTGCGCGGTGCTCAGAACCGGTCGCCATGAGGGATAAGCTGATATTGAGCACACAGTCCAGCGCTTTTGTCTGCAACGGTATGGTTTATTAAGTATATTTTAAGTCTAGGCTCGCCATGCTTCGGCACTACTGGGGCGGCTCGACCGGAGTGATACCACGGCCTAACAGAAAACCGACGTGAAGCAACGCTTGCGTTGTGTTTCGTCGTGTTAGTGAGGTTACCGGAGGCCCAATTTCCCCCCCCCCCCTCTTCTAATTTTTCCAGGCACAGGTGCACAGTACGACACTTAATGCCATTGTACAATGTAACTTCCACTTTTTACTATTTATGGAATCCCATGTAATAGGGGGTGAGTCTATTGCCATACACCGGACACAATTCCAGACTCCATGCTACTACTGAGTTTTTTTAAAAAAGTCCGGTAATAGTTTGCCCGACCTGGGAATCGAACCTGAGACCTCTTGCCCAGACTAGAGCTATGGAGGACTTAATATGTTACCGGGGCTCCGGCTCGAATTGGAGAAGTAGGAACGGGGTGGTTTTAAGTCAGTAAGAGTCCGACACTCCCTCCCGCCTCACCCGGGCTGGAGCAGTCATTCGATGATTTTCCCCCCTTAAAAAAATTGTCTATTTTTGTTATTTGCAGGCGTCCCCCCGGCGGAAGTGATATCCAAGTGCGACAGTTGCTACAGCAACCCGTGCCGCAACGGCGGGCGCTGCCGCGCGCGGGCGGCGGGCGGCCGCGACTGCCAGTGCGCGCGCGGGTACCACGGCGACACCTGCCAGCACCACATCGACGCCTGCTACGGCTCGCCCTGCGCGCACGGGCTCTGTCGGGTCCTCGAGGAGGGCCGCTTCCAGTAAGACATTTTTTAGTGAAAACTACATACTCCTATACAATTTCATACGCAAATTCAAAGCATTTATTTCAGTTAAACCATAATTTGATACTTTTTTTATGGCATAAGTCGGTAAACGAGCAGACGGATGATCTGATCTGATGGTGAGCAATCGGTGTCGCCCATGGACACGCGGAAAACCAGAGGCGTTACAAATGCGTTACCGGCCTTTTGGGGATTAGGACATTGAGGATTTTTTAAGTGTGGGAGAGCCATACTTCGGCATAAATGGGCCGGCTCGACCGGAGTGATACCACGGCCGAGCAGAAAACAGACGTGAAGCAACGCTTGCGTTGTGTTTCGTCGTGTGAGTAAGGTTACCGGAGGCCCAATTACCCTCCCCTTCCCCAATCTCCCTAATCCCTCGAATCACCAACGGTCCTCAAACTCCTAATCCCCAAAAAGCCGGTAACGCACTTTTAACGCCTCTGGTGTTCCAGGCGTCCGTGGGCGACGCTGATTGCTTACCATCAGGTGATCCGTCTGCTCGTTCCCTGAAGGGTATAACCTGGGTGTCTTCAAGGCCCGAGTGAATAGGTTGCTTATGGGACGACGTGGTCCATCGTAGACCGCATCATAGTCTACCACCAGACGAGATAGTGGTCAAAACACCTAAAAATATTATTATTATTATTTCTCCAGCTGTTCCTGCCAGGCAGGCTATACAGGCGCGCGCTGTGAAGTCAACATAGATGACTGCGTGGCGAACAAGTGCCAGAACAATGCGACCTGCGTGGATCATCTTGAAGGGTACTCCTGCAAATGTGCACCTGGATTTATGGGTAAGAACAAAATAAAAGATTCAAGATGGAGTGATATGGAGACGCGAAGGTCTTAATGGGGGCTTCGGCTCGAAGTGCAGGAGAAGGAACGGGGTGGTTTTAGTCAGTAAGAGTCTGACACTCCCTCTCGCCTCGCCCGGACGGGAGAAGTCACTGTATGAATTTCCCCCCTCAAAAAAAATAAAAAATAGATGGAGCCCAAGATTCGTCTTTATAATCATTTATTTATTTAACACTGCATGGTTGTTGCGGTATCTGGATAACTGATTACCATTTAACGTGTATCGGGTTCAATTCCCGCACAGGACAACTGTTTGTGTGTGCATTGTATTCTTTGCGGACACGAAACGAAATCGCCGGCTACAGCAAAGTGGATGACATTATTGTACGACAATAATTTGCTACAGACACTTGACGAAAAACTAACGTATTTGCCACGCGTTCGTTCCGCCTCGTAGCCGCTTCCAAATCGCTAATATGACAATGCCAATAGTCTTCTGAGTCGGGTTTCCAACAAACACGGAAAGAGCAGCGCATTAGACTAATATACAATAATCATCCATATTCTTTGCCAGAGTCTGTATTTTTTTTATAGCACAAGCCGGTAAACGAGCTGACGGATCACCTGATGGTAAGCAATCGGCGTCGCCCACGGACACCCGGAACTTCAGAGGCGTTACAAGTGCGTTACCGGCCTTTTGGGGATTAAGAGTTTGAGGATCGTTAGGGATTCAGGAATTGGGGAGATTGGGGAAGGGGAGGGTAATTGGGCCTCCGGTAACCTCACTCACACGACGAAACACAACGCAAGCGTTGCTTCACGTCGGTTTTCTGTGAGGCCGTGGTATCACTCCGGTCGAGCCGGCCCATTCGTGCCGAAGCATGGCTCTCCCACACTTAAAAT